ACTTCACACTCAATACCTTATCGATTTTTTACTTCTCAATCATATTCATCAAATTTCCTGTCTTATGTTGATTTAGACTCTCGATTTTTCTTAATTAATATAAGGTAATCGAATTTCTCTTATCTATTTTCGATTTAGATTCTCGATTTTTCTCAACACATAGTCATCGAATTTCTCCTATCCATTTTCGATTCAGATTCTCGATTTTTTCAGTACATAATCATCGAATTTCTTCTTTCAATTTTCGATTCCGATTTTTCAATTTTTTTCCACCAACAATAACATGACACAAAAAGTGAAAATTATAAACAAAACCACAATGCAAGAATATCAATATACCACGTCGAGACTCGATTGCGGGTAAAAAGAACATAGAGGAATCAATTCTGGTGTAAAATGAGAGGGGAAAATCGATTATATAAAAATGAGAATGGATTGTAAGAAAAAGGAGAATTGATTCGATAAAGAGAAAAAAAAAAAAAGAGAATCGATTAAAAAAAAATTGATTATTCTTAGTAGTTATACGAGAAGAAAATCAATTCTGTCCGAAAAGAGTGGGCTCTTATTTAAACCCATCTAATTCCTTCCATTTCTCCTACTTTCAAACATAAAAGCATTAGAGGATATATGGTAGCCTAGTCCAAACTAGTGAGCCATTTCTTATTTGAATTTTATTCCTCTCTTTTTCTCTATTTTTAAGACTTATTTAAATCCTAAATTTTAAATTTTAAACTTATTTATTATCTTATTTTCCTTTTTTATTATTATTATATATACATAGTTATTGTCCGATTTCATTGATGATAAGTAGATTAGTTTAACATATGTATTAACTTACATTCAAAGAATTGAATTAGAAAAAAATCTTATATCCTCTATCTCAATTCACTTATAAAATTTGACATACTATATAAATCATAATTTTCTTAATTTTATTATGAACCATCTCTTAGTAGATAAGTCACAATCATAATTTTTTAACCTATTTATCTATTAATCTATTACATATGTTCTTTTGTTTTAATTTAAAATGAAACATTTTAAATGCTAAAAAAGAAATTTATTTCATTTTTAAGAAAAAATTTATAATATTGAAAAGCAAATCCTAACTCATATATTCATGCTAATAATTATTTAAATATTTGTGTGAATTTAAAATAAAATAGGGTAAAAATTTGAAAAGTGAAACATGTAATAATTGATAATCAAACTATCCCAAAGTTAAAATAAATATATTTATTTATTAAAATTGAATACGATACTCCATCAATCAATATCCTTGAAATTTAAATTTGTGATTCTCTTCTGTATTACTTAACTTTTTTTTTTTTTTTTATTACTTCACTTGGATTCTATAAACATAAAAGAAGTTTAAAGTAATGCAGGCTATGGTCATTGTTAAACAAATTGAACTGGAATCTCTTAATTGAATTAAAGACACTAGTTCAGTTCATGCTGCTTTATTTCTTCTCGAAAAAGACATATTAGCTAACTTAAAGGCTTATCTTGAAGAACAATGAAAGCTTATAAGCCACAATTCTTGCGCTAATTATTAATTTAGACACCTCGCACGTGATATTCCAACAGATTCATTCTTATGCGATTCCAAAGCTAGTAAATGTGGTTATTCTTTGAACACATTTTTTATGACAGTCAAATATTACAACTGAGTGACATTCAATCATTGTGTTGGTGTATAAGAGTGAAAGGGGTAATGAGATGATTAGGATGATATTTTTATTGAAAATTTTCTTTGTATATCAATTTTCTTTGAATGCTATACAGAATTTCGCCACCTAAAAAGTTGTTGAGCCAGTAGCCATGCATGGTCGACCTTTGTTCTTGATCAATGATATCAATGATCCATTTGATGGTGGTGGGTCAAGCAATTTTATTTGGAAATGAAGCAATGTGAAGGTGGTCCATCCCTTTTTTTGGAAGGATTGTAAGTTCATCTCCAATGGCTACAACATGAAAATGGTCCTCAGCCATAGATCACCAGCAGTGTAGTTGGATTGGGTTTCAACCACAGAAAAAACTGGTGGTTCTTATTGCCATTCTCAGAAGAGATAGACCTCTTCTGTCTCATGTATCTACCACCCGATATCCCCCAACAACTTCTTTTCTTGTCAGGTTTTGTGTGGTGTTGGATTAAATCACAACTTCCCATGTCTTACTTTCTAACTCAATACGCTTGCAAATTTATTCAAAATTTCATACCTTTCACTTTGCCTCAATTTAACCATAATTTGTTCATATATTACCACAACCTATTTCTTTTCACTCACTTTACTTATCTCTCACTCGTTGCTTCTCTTCAAGCTTAATGATATGTAACTTATAATGATATGCAATTTTATTATATCCTCTTCAACACATATTTTGAATATAACGTTAAATATGAAGATCGAGTTCTTGTAAAAAAACTCTCATATCTGCAAAATAATAATAAAAAATTAATTTTATTATATATTCTAATTTTGAATAACTAAATGAAAATCTCGTAACGAGATCTATCACTAAACAAAAATTTGATTAGGATTTACCAAAAAATAATACATGATCTACCGTTAAAAATGACAAATTTATCTAAAAGACTCATAAAATCATTAATAATATTTCACATAGTCTCAATTACTACATAAACTAAGATTTTATTTAAATATTCTATTATAACCTTTTCTAGTTTGTATTACAAAAATAATTATACTAATTTTCTTTAAAAAATAAATTGACAGAACATATTTTTTAATAGAATCATTTATTAATTTATTGTGAATTTGTGATGCCCTAAGGTATTTATGAGATTAAGTATATGGATCTTAACACGTTCTATAAAACATTAAAAATAAATAAATACGAAGTATTATCGTATATTGATCAAAATATAATTTGATTACGTAAAGTAACGTTTTTAAAAAAATTCCTAATTCTCTAAACACAACTCCCGATCAACTTAGTCATGGACATGGTGAAATAAGTCAATAAATTTGATGAGAAAGAACTTTACCTCTCAAGTATTTCAATTATTTGATCCTAATGAAATTTCCTCAACATATTTTTGCTCAACAAATATATTATATAAATAAATTGAAATATTTATAAACATAAATACAAACTATAGAAGTTAAATTCTCAAAATGTTGTAACATGGTAAAGAAAAAAAGGAACCCCGAGAGCTACGTTGCTGGTGTTAGAAAAAAAAAAAAAACAAATAGCACCTTGTGTTCTCACCATTCACATATATGTTTGACACGTGTACCTTACTGTTTGTTAGAAAGTTGTAATTTCTTTCCCCCGATTTAGCGCATGTGCAAGCTATTTCTTAGGAAAATTTCCTTTCTCTTGGATTAATCAATGCCCTGGTTTATTTCCTAGATTATGGTTTACTCTAATGACTGTTTCTACTGCATAATAATCTCTACTGATATTACATAGGGAGATTTTCCCACTTTTACTCAACTTCAGGTTTCGATTCACATTTAAATTTCAACAACTATAACAATTTCGAATTAATTACTTAGAATTTTGTCACTGTTCTTTTAACATGATATCTTCCTGGACGTCATGCATCAGCTCCAAAAGTGGAAATAGTATAGTTCTGAATAAGGTACCAAGAAAGAAGAGAGATAGAGTTGTCCTGGGGATATCACTTGCTCCTGCACAACATATGAACTGCAAGTCATGCAGGTTGGACAATCAATGTTCTGCAGTAAAAGGTGTCTTTTGTGTTTGTTTATTCATCATTCACTGTTAAGAAAATGAGCTTTCATGTTATTTTCCATCGTGATTGATTAGTGCTGTGTTTAAACCACTTAAACTATCAGAGATGAAGATCTTTTTTGATATCAATGTTTACTGGTTCATTTCATACTTAAAGACTGAGGTAAAAAAAAATTGGTAGCTGGGTGAACATGGATGTTGTTTTCATTTGGAGAAAATCTTGGAAACTTTTTGTTGTAGGTGGTTGATTAAACCAAATGAGAATGGTAGGAATTTAGTTGAGTTATGCTCCATATTAATCACATGTTAGATCAGATACAAAACTACCACTAAGCTAACTTGGACTAGCTACCCTTTTATTAGCAGTGCTTCAGCCTGAGATTTGGTTTGAATCAGAGCATTAAACGTGTCCCAATAATCCATTAAGGTATTAGTCCAAGGTTGTTTTTCGATTTGGGTTAATTTTATTAACCTGAACATTTAAACCAGGTAAATTAAATGTTGTGACATTTTAACAAACTTAGTAGCTTCAATAACTCACCGTTTTATTAGCAACACTTAGAGATAAACTCAACCATATCTGCTTTTTCTTTCACAAACAGTATTTCTCACCCGTGGAATTAAAATGTGGAAACAATTATTTGACTTATATATATTCATGCCACATGTCTTTTTCTTTTCTAGTATGCCAATTCACTAGAACTAGTAAAATTTACTGTCTTCAGATAATAAATATAATTAAAGATCAAAATATATTTAAGAAACTTTTCTGTAGAAAGTTTTTTGTATTATTTTCTATTCTTTCTGCTGTAGTAGCACTTTGGTACTCTAATACAATTATGATGTTATCCCACTCTCTCTTCCTCCAAGAAAAAAAAGGAGGATACCTAAGTTTGAAAACATGCCATGACCATGGCATGATGATATTCTAATTACGACTACATGATGAAAAGTTTAAAGATAGAAAGGACAAGGTGATTAAGATAATCAAATCACACTTGGCAATCTCAGAACCATACACCTAATACCAATTCTTACTTGTCCCATGTCACAGGACATGACAAAACCACGCGTGGTTCACCTTCTCCTTACATATATGACGCATGTTGTCACACGGCACCAAACCATCACCGAGAAAAAAAAAACCAGACCAACCATACAACACCAGACACTCCTCCTAACCTTCAATTCTCTTCTTCCTCTTCATCTTCATCTCGCCGTTATAAAAACTTCTTTTAACCCGGACTTTTGCATCTCACATACATATCTTTTCTAACATGGCTGCTGGGACTGGCCTCTTTGCAGAGATTTTGGATGGAGATGTGTACAAGTACTATGTTGATGGGGAGTGGAAGAAATCTTCTTCTGGGAAAAGTGTTCCCATCGTCAACCCCACCACAAGGAAGACTCAATACAGAGTTCAAGGTAAATTTCAATATCTCACATGTTAGCACTTGGCAGATCATTAATTTCCCTTCTTCTTGAATATGGAGCCTTTATTTTCAGTCAATTTCACGTGGCTGTTAGTAGAAGCTCGAGAATTCTAATTCTAGATATTAATTAAAGTCAGTAGCGAAACAATTAAAGTGTAAATTTTACTGTGACTCCAGAATTAGTGAGGAAAAAGCAATTTCTGTGACTCAATTGGGTATTTTTAGAGCTTAAGTTCTTGTTTTGTGTAATCAAACTAAATCTTGAAGGTTCTTCTTTTTGTTTAGTTTTACAATAAGAGAAGACAAGTGTGTCTGATAAGCTCTAAAATGGTGTTCGTGCAGCCTGTTCACAAGAGGAGGTTAATAAGGTCATGGACTTAGCAAAATCTGCACAAAAATTATGGGCAAAGACCCCACTATGGAAGCGAGCTGAACTTCTTCACAAGGCAGCTGCCATCCTTAAAGAGCACAAGGCTCCCATTGCAGAGTGCCTTGTTAAAGAAATAGCAAAGCCAGCCAAAGATGCTGTTACAGAGGTGCATATTGTGTCACGGGATATGTGAAACAAGTTAAATTAATATTCTAGACTATTACTTTGAAGGATGGAGATAACTGGTTTTGTTTTTCCTGAAGGTTGTAAGATCTGGGGATCTGGTTTCTTACTGTGCTGAAGAAGGGGTAAGGATTCTGGGTGAGGGAAAGTTCTTGGTGTCGGATAGCTTTCCTGGAAATGAAAGGACTAAATACTGCCTCACATCCAAGGTTTATCTCAACACTACTTCAAAAATTACATTTAACATAAAAGTCTTCATAGGTTAAAATTCGTTTATTTCTGTCTTGTCATACTTATTGTTATGAAACTTAACATTTTAATGTTGAAGATCTTAGTAGTTAAATTATAATACGTAAGTGAATACAAATTTTAGTTCGTATAAGTGGATAAAAGAATTCTAAGATTTATAGGGGTTGATGGAGTATAATACCCATGAAGGACGGGGTGCTTTTAAGAAATGGTAGTGAAGCAATAAATACTGATATCGAAGTGAGAAGGAATGCCTTCCTACACTCGTGTGTAGCATGTAATGGGGGAGAAAGGCGAAAATAATGAGGTCAAGGATGAATGCACTTCCTTTAAAATGTACTAGAGGAACCACAATCTTGTTCATCTACCAAGTTCTTTTCTTCTAGTTCAGGATATCCACGTGCAAGAAAAATATATAAATCAATTACGAAAGGTTTTGACTATAACTACTGCAAACATCAAGGGAGGTCAATGCAAATTGCGAAAATAAAATAGCCCTTGTTTACTGGACATTGGACACCATAGAACATAGCCATTCCAGAAATATTTTATTATGGAAAAGTTCTTCTGTCAATCCAGAACACATAGTCAGCTGCATCTGGAAAATCGATATAGTAAAATATTTTACTGACTCACACGATGTCAAAACCCTGAGTTCATAAAGTGGTCTGCATCAGATTCCATTATAATGATTAGCAAATAAAATGATCATGATGAGGTGAGTAGCCAAGTGCTGTCATGTTCTTTAGATTTGGTTTTAATGCGATCTAAGAAAGTTTCATATGTTTTCAGATTCCACTTGGAGTGATTTTAGCCATTCCACCTTTTAACTACCCTGTCAATCTTGCTGTCTCCAAAATTGCTCCTGCACTGATTGCTGGAAACTCCATTGTGCTCAAGCCTCCAACTCAGGTTATTATATCCTTCATTGTGAAACTCTTCAAAGAAACTACACGTTAGATCCACACTCTCACAGTAACAACTGGCTCATGTCACAAAAGTGCTATGCTAGCCTTACGTGTCTTTATCACTCCTTCTAATGTTTGTTTAATGATGCATTTCAGGGAGCCGTTTCTGCTTTGCACATGGTTCACTGCTTTCATTTGGCTGGTTTTCCCAGAGGCCTAATCAACTGTGTCACTGGCAAAGGCTCAGAAATTGGTGACTTTCTGACAATGCATCCAGGAGTGAACTGTATCAGGTGACAGATTCTTCCCCTTTTGATGACGCTGTGCTGGTGCTAGTATCATACCGCACATCTTCAATTTTCATGAGCATGTAATTTTTCCTCTACTGACTACTGGCTATGCTGTTTGTCAGCTTCACTGGTGGAGATACTGGCATTGGAATTTCAAAGAAAGCAGGCATGATTCCTCTGCAAATGGAGTTGGGAGGAAAAGATGCCTGCATTGTACTTGAGGATGCTGACCTGGATTTGGTTGCAGCAAACATTATAAAGGGAGGCTTTTCATATAGGTAATGTCACAACTGTATGAGGACTTATGGGGAAAGGGTTCCTTTTATGCACTCATTTGGTACAACTGTGATAGGTCTTTCGATTTACCGGTGACAGACAACACCCACCACTGAGTCATGAGCTAAATCCACATCCTTAATCCCTCAAGTGTGAGTCTCTTCAGAACGATACATCTCCCTCAAACTCACTAGTGGCCCTTATTTGTACCGTCATTCTTTTACAGAGAGATAACACCAATGAGTCATGACCACAACCCACATAGTAATTGACACTACTTTCAACCAAAGACTGTAAGATATTGGGTTATGACTTTTTTTCCTTATATATTGTTCAATTTTCTCATTTTTATTCAATGTGAGACTTAGATTCACACTTGGATTTCCCAATAATCTTTCCCTCAAGTGTGAGTCCCTTAACATTGGTACATCCCTCGAACTCAATAGTAGTCCTTACTTGTACCGTCGTTCATCATAATGGAACACAATTACTTAACCTACTGTCAAGAAGATTTTCAATACAAAAAATCACTCTTAAACGGTCAGTCACAATACAAATTATTGACTCTGTTAACACTTACGTATCTTTCTTCTTTATATGTTCAACTTTCTCATTCTTACTCAATGTAAGAGTTTAGACTCACAGTTGGATTTCCCAACAAATTAAATGCTAATATACGGACAAAAGACATCCTCCTCCACAATTTGCATCCTTGTTTTCCTTCTTTATGTGAAATACAAGGTGTTTATGAGATTTTGTTCCTAATATAAGAGTACTCTACCCCATAAGATGAATGTTAAATGGTTAGCATTTTGTGTGTGTGTGTTTTTTTATGGTACTGTTACATGCCAGATATAATTCAACCAAAAAAAAAATCACATTCCTAAGAAATTTTACTTACTTGAATTATAATTCCATTTTTTTCTTCATCAAAAGTGGTCAGAGGTGCACTGCTGTTAAGGTTGTCCTGGTAATGGAGTCTGTTGCTGATGCTTTGGTTGAGAAAGTGAAGGCTAAGGTGGCAAAACTGACTGTTGGAGCACCAGAGGATGACTGTGATATCACTCCAGTTGTGTCTGAATCATCAGCCAATTACATTGAAGGCCTGGTCTTGGATGCTAAGGAGAAAGGAGCAACATTCTGCCAGGAATACAAAAGAGAAGGCAATCTCATTTGGCCTTTGCTACTGGACAATGTCAGGCCAGACATGAGAATTGCATGGGAAGAGCCATTTGGACCCGTTTTGCCTGTAATTAGGATCAATTCAGTTGAAGAAGGAATCCATCATTGTAATGCTAGCAACTTTGGACTTCAGGTAAGAAAATTATAGGCCTCAAACTTGCACAAACATTATACAATGCTGTCTTATAATAGACGCAATTTGTATTAACAAATTGAACTTGTGCAGGGATGTGTCTTCACAAAGGACGTCAACAAGGCAATAATGATCAGTGATGCAATGGAAACGGGAACAGTTCAGATAAATTCTGCCCCAGCTCGTGGGCCAGACCATTTTCCCTTTCAGGTGAACCCAGTCTAAAACCAACCAAATTCTGTTACTTCACAATTTCTATTTCCAAAACTTGAAAAAAAAAAAAGGAAAATCAAAAGTTTATATACATGTTAAAATATTTATTTGTATGTGAAAACGCTATTATTAACCAGAAATATACTTTGGTGACAGGGTATAAAGGACAGTGGCATTGGATCTCAAGGGATAACGAACAGCATAAACATGATGACCAAGGTTAAAACGACTGTGATCAACTTACCCAGCCCTTCCTACACCATGGGCTAGTCGTAGTTATTCCTCTGCAAGGGACTAAATCAATTTATAGCCACTTTCATGAATCATGGTGAACCTACAAACTGTGTGAGTATAGCATTTCGTTCTCTTTTGCAGCTCGGAATCACAGAGATCAATAACGAGTTTGATTGATGCCTCGCATACCTACTTCATGTGACTGCTTATCATAGTCATATTTTAGCATGATATGAATCTCAATTATTTTCTTCTACCTTGTCATTAAGTGAAAAATGCAACTTTGTTCCAGTTAAGTTCAATGTTAGATCAATGAATGGAGGGGAAAAAAGTCTGGCTTCTGTTTCCATTTCTTTCTCGGTTATTTTTTGTTTTGTATCCCATCTCTGTCAAAAGCTCAAAATGCACTCTTTATCAATTCCATCGTCTATGTTCTGGACATTAGGCTCTGTCTGTCACATCACTCTAAATATCACTTTTTACCCACAAAATAAATGAAAATAAACCATGACAATAAGAGAAACTAGATAGAAAATAAAATAAAAAAGTTTAATTTAAGACTGGTAAATAAATTATCTGATAAAACAATGTTTTATTAAAAAAAAAAACTAAATAACACAATTCATAATTTTTTTCAAGACGAAAACTTCATTAAACTAATAGAAAACGAATTCAATAACCATGTCTTGTCAGTAAAAAATTCATATTATTCACCAATTAAAAATTATTGTTATTATAATAATCAACCAAACTTACGTGTTCTTTTATTCTAAAAAAAATAAAATGATTTTTAACAATTATCCTTTATTAATGACGAGACGTCCAGTGACCCCAGCGAACAATGGATTTTGTTTTATCAATATGTTTTTTTTTTAAATGATTATTATTGTCTGCAGAAGTTAGCAAGCTCTTAATCCCTGTACGTCTTATCATGTAAAATATTTAAAATATTATTTTTATTTTTTTTCTTTTATTTATTTACAACTTTTACATTTTTAATTTTTTGATAATATTTTTATTTTTGGTTATTTTTTTTAGTATTATTATCTTTTTTTAAAATTAATAATTAAAGGTAAGTAATTGTTAATATTTTATATATTTTTTTATCTATACATAAATAAATAAATGTAAATTACTCAAATTAAAATAATATTAAGATGAGGTTGAATTTAAAAAAAATTAATTTAAAAATATATTATTGAATTTTTATTTAAAATATGTTTCTAGAAAGATGAATGTAAAAATATATTCTGAAGATAAATATAATATAAGGATAAAATATAAAGATAAAATAGAGTTTAATTTAATTATAGGGATGCAGAAATAAATTATTTGTTGCAGGAAACAAGATATGAACAATAATTATAAACAAGATCATACAAAATTGGGCTTTCCAGTTATTATGGACCGGGTATGAGCCCAAAGCTTATATAAACAAGTACAGAATATCTTCGGCAGATATTACTTTTAATTAATGAACTTGTGAAGACAAAATGTATTTAGTATTGTAAAATGTAGTTTTAAATTTTATCAATTAGATGAAATAGTCAATCGTTATTCGATTTTTTTTAATTGAAATATAATGAAAAGATTATATAGCACACAAATTTAAATAATTGAAGAATGGGAAAATAAAGTGTGATTAAAAAAAGGATTTAACATATTTATATTGTATAACAATTATTGAAAGTATCATAACACTTGGCTGGTAGAACTTGCTGAAGAAAAAGACTGAAAGTAAACGTTTCGTTGTAGAAAAAAAAAAAGACGTGCGTGCATCACTAAATAAAATTTTCGTAGTTTCTACACATAATTTTGTACTATAATTTAGGTCAACTATCGAAGTCCTAAACTTTATTAACGCTGTGATTTTCAAATGAAGCAAAATCCCAAGGGTTACCCTAGTTTGTTAGGACAAGAACACAAAAGAGGCAGTATAGCTTATGGAACAAATTAAAGAGCACCCTTTGAATGAATAAAGATTAGTGAAAACAAAACACAATAACTGGGAAAAGTTTCCCAAATGATCTAGGGTTTTCCATAACATAATAAATTTAGATCAGAAGTGGAGATTGAGGTGTAAAGAGAGTCCTATCACCTGAAGGGATTTGGGGATGTGATTGCTACAGGACAAGGACATATACCTACATCCTTTGCCATTACAAAGCTAGCTTTAATAAAGATTTATTGTTCTATTCTATACATAACATATCAACATTCTATATTGTTTTCTATTTTTTTTTTAGTTTTTGTTCCATTTAACATGGGTTCAATCAATGTCCCAGCGTTTAGCGACATCTTTTACACTCTTCAATTCCCCAAGAATTGAGAATATAACCAATGAGGTCTTATTCTTCTGCTCATCCCTATGATGAGAACTATGATCGACCAATACAACTTTCTCATTGTGTTCGGTCCAAATCATGGTACAAAAAAAGAAGAATGGTGGGATTTGATTCTATTTAAATTTGAAGTTATATTGAGAGAAGTTTATACATTATTATGAAGGGATTTGGGATTTTGTTGACATCACCTAATGAACATTGGTACTTTCCATTCATATTATGTCACACCCATAAAGTATATATGCCTTGTGGGAATAAAATAAAAATAAAAAAAATCTATGAGGCAGAAAAATGCATGATTTGAATCAAGTGATTAGATTCTTATATATCTATTTGTTAAACGTAATTCTTTGTACTTCATAAAGTGTTTCACAACCCTTTGTTCGATGTAATTTTAATTACAGAAACATGTTTGCTTATATAAACAACTTTGCTTGAGAATTTTTTTGCTTTAAATAAGAAAATTTAATGGAGAAATTAAATGTGTTAAGTATAATCTTAAGAGACAATGGTAAAACTTAGAACAAGAGTACGTGAAACACTGCATGTTGTTAAAAAAACACAATTATTGTAGCTTATATTTAGCACGTATACTTAAATATGGATTGTGAAAATAAAAATTATATTGTTATTAAAATATTTTACAAAGGAGAAAAAGAATAAAAAGATTACATATATTTTTAGTTAAAATTGATTGAAAAAGTTGATGGGGAAGTCGGAACGCAACTGAAATGCAACACTTGGCAGGAGTGATCCAGCTGTGAGAAGCTCGTGGGGAAGATGGGACGGTTTTTTGGAGAAAGAAATGAAAAATAAAATAAATGCAAAGAAAGGTTAATGGGTTGAGGTATGTATTTAAAAGGCAAAACACTCACTTGCACCCACTCTCGTCTTCTTCAAACTCTAAACCCTCTATTCTCTTCTCTTCTGCTACAACTTCATAACTCTCATCTCATGCAACCTGCAACCTTGTAGTAGGGAAATGCAAGGCCCTAACAATAACTCTCTCTGTAATAATCACCAAGAAATCCACTTCGACGCCACTTCCAACGACGATTTCCTCAAACAAATGCTCTCCAACCTCCCTTCTTCATCATGGACTCTAGACCCCAAACCCAACCCCTTGTGGGACCCTAATTCCGACGAAACCACACCGGATAACAACCTCGTTTTCCCCTACGACCTCCAACAAGCCAACTTGGCCTCCAAGTTTCGCAACCACCAGATCAGCGATGACAACAAACCCTCCGCTCTCATGCTCCAACACCACCACCACCTCCTCCTCTCCTCCGCCGCCGCTGCTGCCAATTCCCCCCTCCTCCACGTCCCCTTGTCCGACGTCGTTGACGCCCCCTCCTTCAAATCTCCCTCTCCCGTACGTTACTCGCTTAATTTAAACCCAAACCATTTTCTCCTCCCATTACCCTAATTTCATTGCTTAGTTCTTTTTTGTTTCGCAGAACGGTGAGGCTTCTTCCGTTCAACCTCTCTACAACGGCTTCTCCGGATCTCTCCAAGGCGCCGCCCAACCCTCCAACCAAACTCACCATTTTCAACTTCCTCAGCAGGTGCTTTTTTTTTTATTGTTAATGATAAAATTAGATACTGATTGTTATGCTGTGAACTGATTGTGATTTTCTCCATGCTTGGAATTTGAAGGGGCAGAGTTTCGGAGCTTCGGCTCCGACTAGTGGTGCTGGCGGTGGTTCGGGTCAGCCCAAGCAGAGGGTTAGAGCCAGGAGAGGTCAAGCCACGGACCCACACAGCATCGCCGAAAGGGTACGTTTCTCTGGCTTCCCAAAAATGTGTTTCCACATTCAACCCCATCACTGATTACATGTACACTTTTTCTATACGTAGTACATTTTTCTGTTTTTCATTTTTGTCAGTGAATGACAGAATTCTTGTTTTCATTTTTGTAAAATTGAAAAATAAGTAAGCGGAAACGCCGGAATAGGACAGAATCGCTTTGGTTTTCATCTTTTTCACGTTTGATTTGATTGGTAAGGAGATATGGTCATTGTCTTACGTTTGTTGTTCTGACGCGGGTTGGAAATTTTGTTGCGTGTGGCAGTTACGGAGGGAGAGAATCGCAGAGCGAATGAAGGCCTTGCAGGAACTGGTTCCCAACGCCAACAAGGTAAACATTAAAATTGTTTTTTCTTTTTCTGTTAAACTTAATCATGTTATCTTTTGTTGATCAATTGGAGCATAATGAATAACTAAATTAATCACTTTCCAAGGACGCAATAGTTTTGGTATGTAGTGTAGTGTAGCAGCAACGCCCTCGTTCCGTCCATTTACATCATTCCCATTATGTATATCTCTTTCCGTGCGTGCCTGAAATATGAAGCTGGAAAGCACTAAGGTTTGGTCCCTAGAACAAGTGGGTTTTGTAGAATTGTTGTTATCTGTGAAGAATGAGGGGACTAGACGCAACACGTGAACAATATATAATAATAATAATAATAGTACTATATATGCACCATTGCCCCCATACAAAAGAGTATACCAGTCATGCCATATCCTTTTTTACAGTACAATCCTTTTTATCATATAAACATCTTAATTATTTCACTTCTACCTCGATTTACTTTAAAAAATATAAAATTAAAACTATACAAACAAATAAAACTTTCCCTTGTTACTTATTATGTGCTGCTCATGGATTGTCAGACTGATAAGGCCTCCATGTTGGATGAGATCATCGACTATGTGAAGTTCCTACAGCTCCAAGTAAAGGTAAGATTCCCTCTGTTTCAACATTTTCTCAATGAATAAAGATTAAATAGCAAAATACTATATATTGTCACAAATAATTTTCATTTTTTTGTCTTACTTCTACATATTACCTTATCTGTTTAATTTTTACTTCAATGAATTTAATATATTATTGATGTCTCAATAGATGGTAACAAAAAAGTTAATAAAGTAGAACGATAATATAACTAAATAAATGTTTTAATTGAAACGTATCATACAACTTTACAATAATCTGAGTTAGGTGATGCTCAGTGAGTTTTTATTTATAAGCAAATAAAAACAATTAAACTGATTACTCAAAATCCAAAAACAGAATAAAATACAAAATAGATAAACGTTACCAAAAAATATGAAATAAATAAAAAGCACACTAAATATAACAAAAAAATAGGAATATAAGAAGTACACTAAATATAATAGATCTAGAGATTATTCTCAGAGTTAAAAGACATTTTAGCTATTTTTATGCTAGTAGAAGAGATTCACTTCCATTAACTCCAATCAATCTACAATCCCTCTGAACAATTAAATGGACAAAATAACCAATCCCTGAGCAATTAATTGGACAAAATAACCGTAATCTAAATAATAACTAAGTATTAGGATAGTTTCTTATAACTCCTTTACTTACACTAAACAAGAAAAAGAATATTAGGATAGTTTCTTATAACTCCTTTAGTTACACTAAACAAGAAAAAGAATATTAAAGAAACATAACAAAATTAACACTAAGTCAAAAAAAAAAAAAAACACCGGATGTTCAGGAGTTACTATGCAGACACCAACAAAAAAATAAATAAATGCACGGGATGTTCAGGAGTTACTATGCAGACACCTGTACATCGACTATTTTTATAATCTTTGAATTTATTGATTTATTCTTAAAATTGAATAATTATTATTACCTTCACTAAAAGTTTTTTTTTTAAATGTTATGTTTATTAAATATAATTAAAATAACAAAATTTAAAATTACAGAATGATTTATTTTTAAAGTTGTGGTGAGCGAAGTTAAAAGTAGAAAGTATAAGAATCTTGTTGAATATTGGAGTTTAACGCTTATTTTAAATTAATTATTGATAGTAATGAGTTTAGGTATAGAAATCTGACTGTAAAATTCGAATTTCTGTCTGGCGTTCTTCTTCTTCTTCTTCAAGTTTTCATGTTGCCTGCATAATTGATTGGATTGCAGGTTTTAAGCATGAGTAGACTAGGAGGTGCAGCGGCTGTTGCACCCCTTGTTACTGATTTATCTTCCGAGGTACACAACTCCTTCATTAATACACTATTTTTTCTACTTCAATTAATGCCATGATTATCCCATCAACGATACCCCAATAGAAAAAAACGATGACAAGCAATACCAAAATCCAAAAGATTTGTTTTTCATTCCCCCCTTCGATGGTCCACTTTTCTGAATCTGGGAATTATTAGTTTAAAATGAATGATAGAAAAATTGGCACCTCGTGAAAAAAAAAAAGAAAAAAGAAAGAAAGAGGGAGGCATGAAAATGCGGAAGATATTAAAAAAACATGCGAGGAATTCCATAAGAAGAAATAGAAGGGCAGAGGCAGCACCCATAAAATATTGTCGGAGTGAGTAGTCTTTTTCTGTTGCCTTTAGTTTATTATCCATCCATCCATCCATCCATCAATCAATCAATCCTCAAACTCTCAATCACCACAAAACGACAATTCAAAAGCAGCACGCGTGGCCACTTTCGCAGATTCCTCTTTTTTCTCTCTCCCAACCCTATTGTAACTGACGCTGTCACATGGTGTTGTGTTGTGTTTGCTTTGCACAGCAGGGAGGCGGTGACTGCGTTCAGCCAAAACGCAACAGCGCGAACGGTAACGGTAACTCAAACGGCAACGAAGGTTCCTCAAACGACAGTGTGGCCATGACGGAGCAACAAGTGGCGAAGCTGATGGAGGAAGACATGGGGTCCGCCATGCAGTACCTGCAGGGGAAAGGTCTCTGCCTGATGCCAATTTCTCTGGCCACGGCCATCTCCAAAGCCACGTGTCACACCAGGAACCCTTTCATCAACGGTGATGGCCCCTCCTCTCCCGGAATCTCCGCGCTCACCCTCCACTCTTCTTCTGTGGCTAACGCCCTCGTCAAAGACGCTGCCTCTGTTTCCAAATCCTGATGACCGCGTTCCGATGACTCTTCAACTCAAACACTACACCAAACGACGTCACCTCGACGTGAACCAATGACCAAGGACCTCAACATCAACCTACCATATGACGTGGATTTTCTAAGGTCTAGGAAAGGGTTCCCTTAACGACGTCGTTTTTTACCTTCACTTTCGCACGCACGCGCTAACTTCCTATCCTATCTAATTTCTTTGTTTTTCTTTTACTTTATTTATTTTTGTTTGTTAATTTTTTCAACACGTGTGCTACTTTTTGTTTTCTTTTGCATCCCACTTTCTGCATTTACCTTATCTTTCGCATCAAGAACAAAATATTATCTTATTTAATCAAAATAAAAACAAAATATTATCTTATTTAATCAAAATAAAAACAAAAGAGAAAATTCTATGTGATTTATTTTAGTCGACATATTATAACTAATATTTAGAGAACAGTCACTGGTCAAACGAACTTCCTTTTTGCAAAAGGATTGGCAGCAGCTTTAATTGGGTACTTTCTTGTACGTGTAATTTGTATATGTTTCTTACAAATAAAAACGTGGCCTCGTCATGAGTTAGGTTTATATCAATTATTAAGTAAATTAAGTTAGTGATCAAAGATGTCAATAATTTATACGACAGTATAAAGATAAGCTCTAGTATCACTGCTGGATTGTATAATATTTGATGATCCTGCTTAGTTGCGTGGTGGTGTTTATTTATAACTTACTGCCTCCATTATAACTTGGTAATATCATCATAAGCTGCACTTGATTATATTGCAATGAACTATTTTATGGTTAAAGGTGAAAAATAGTTTCATTTTCAGTAGAAAGAATGAACTTTGTTTTTCTAATAAAATCACTTTGGAATGGGAGCTTTGAGTGGTTGACCAAACACCAAATAAAACTGGGAAGTGATATAAGCACAAACTGCTCTAACGATGGTTCTATAGAAGCAACCAATTTTGTTAAAATAGTGATTCAGAGTAGAAATTATTGAACATGAGGTAGATGCGTTGAAAGACTGATATATCACATAACTTGTTGTGCTCTATTAATTCTTTTTAGCGCATTTTTAGTTTGTTCTCGTGTTTATCCGATTATTGTGTGTAGTTTTATATTCTAGCAAAGAGGGTATCTTAATAATGGGCACCAACTAATTAATCCCGTCCTATAAGAAATTAACTGCTAATTTAATATTTCGGAGTGGCTATGGGCTCCACCTTAATATACCCCTTTCTATGTTTCAAATACATAGTAATAATAATAATAATAATAATAATATTGTCAAAATTCATGAAAACAATTACTATAATCTTTATCAAACAGAATTAATTAAGGTTAGTTTTCAGTAATGGTCTTATTAAATAATATCTTAAAGATGCTACTTAAGAAATTCATTATTATTATTTTATTAACAATGACAGTGGAAATGTGTTCATAATGATGTGCTCAGTATCTATCCATTTATGCCTGAGTTTTTAACATAATTTGAATATTTCTTCTTTCAGAGATAATATTTAAATACTCAAGATTCTAATTTGAGATCACCCATTATATTATAATAACTCTGCACCAACTCATGTAAACAATAACTGATCATATACTATTGTTTGATTAATGTTTATTTTAATTAAATTCTATGTAAAAACAATCCATTTTTTTAGAAGAAAAAACATCTTGTTTCAAATTTTAAGTTGTAGATATCCATCAAAACATCAAATGGAGGTATATAATGAAACTTGAGTAGCATTTTATATGAAATTTTTGGCCACCTCATGTTGCCATTTCAATTTCCACTAATACCATGTTTTTGGAAACAATTTTAAAAGGATATTTATTTAGTGAGAAAAATCACATTCTTTGACTGAAGATAATTTAATAAGGTTGGCTAGGTTTCCATTAATTAAGAATTTTTTTTTTCATGTTAATTTCTTAAGAAATACTTGTATTAAAGTTAATAGTTTTATTGTAACCGATTTAGTTAAATATAATTCAAATAGGTAATGTATAGTAAGTTATATATATATATATATATATATATATATATATATATATATATATATATATATATATATATATATATTAATGTATCAAAAGTTTCTTGACGTAAATGAATTTTGTTGAGTATGGATATAAATAAGATTATTATTAAATATTTATGATTAAAAAATATTTTGTTCCAACGAGATATATAGTAATATAAAAGAAAATTATATTTTAGTGAAAAATTGTTAAAATTTTAATTATAAATTAAAATCTTATATTAAATAAAAAGAGAACATTATTTTTTTATATAAAAAAACTTATAAGTTGATATTTTAAGATTTTTTTATTAAATATCGTATGATACACTTTTTATTTTACATGTTCTTATTCTTATATTAGTTTATCCAAAATATTCAATAGTTTCTCGCAAAACAACCATAACTTATGCATTTTATATCAAATTTTATCAAAATGTGATTTAAAAACTTATTAATATAGGATGTTTTGAAAACGATTTTAAAAGGACATTTTTTGACTGAAGATGATAAATGTGCTTCCACGCCTTTTTGCTTGTTCTTAGAGCTCAACATTTGAGTAGTTTATAGAAAAAAAAAAATTATAATCCACTCGTTCTCTTAAAACTCGACGAGTTGTTTTGATTCTTATTTTTATTTTTTAACCTACGAAAACTAACAAAGTTTTATATATATAAAAATACTTACATTTTCTAGTATTTCTCAGTCCACTTTAGATATATTAGGTTTTAGTTTAAAAGATTAGGCCATATCCAAAGTTTTAAGTGCACTATAGATTTAACGTTGTTGTTCATTTTAAAAGCTAAAAAAAGTTAGTAGCAGTGACCTTACTGCTAATCAAGTTTAATTAATGAAAGTGGAGAAATTTGTAATCATTTAACCCAAATAGTCAAACTAATACAAATCTTTAAGAAATAATTGGAAGACAGCATTTCTAAAACTGTTCAAATTGATTATATGAACTTGTTAGAACATATTATTTTTCAATTTTATTTTTATGATTTTTTTGAATGAAAACTATTTTGCCAAATAAGCGTAATGACAAGTTGTAAAGGTTTCTTTGGATTTTTATTTATGCCTAGTTTGTTTCCTGTTTCTAAAAATAATTTTATAAACTCAAATTAATAAAAGTAATTTTGAATTTGTTTGACTTAATTTTGTTTTTAATTTTTAAAATCAATTTTATAAAATAGTTTTTAAAATATGTTAGGAAAAAACCATATTTGATTAATTTATTTTGAAAACTATTTTAGATTAAAAAAAATAACATTCCATCACAAAAAAGGTTACACTAAAAATTGAAAAACAATTTTAATATTGTGATGATGATAAAAATAAATATTATAATACTATTAATGAAAACATGGATATAATTAATAATAAATAATAAAAAAACACCCACAAATAGAAAATATATTTTATTACTTTCAGTTTTATGATTTTTAAATTCTAAAAATAAACATTATTAAAAATTATTTCAACAAAATATTGAATAATTTTTTTACTTTTTAAAACCTAAAAAAAATAGTACAGATAAATAAATAAATCATTTTTTTTTAGTCTTTTATTTTTATTTTTATTAATGATATTTATGTCTTCACGATCGTTTCTTCTGCATTTTCTATCTTCATCTTAATTAAAAATCACTATAGTCCATACTTTTCATTCCATTCAAAATCTCATCCTCTTTTATTTAAAAGAGTTTTTAACGCAAAGTTTTTTTTTTTTTTTCAAAATTGATGTCTATAAATGTTTTTAAAAACTAAAAAACAAAAGGAATTCAATATCTTTTACTTTGATTTTATTTCTTACAGCACATAATCATTCAATTTTAATTTAAAATTTTACCCACCTTCATTTGCTAAATTACTTAATTATTATACATCTATATTTAGACTTCAAAATAACTTCCTTTTACCATTAAAATTTGTAAACCCAGTTATAAAATATCATCCCAAAGACCTCGTGTTTTTTAGCCCAACTCTTTCAAAATCAAATTCAGCTAAAGTCAGAAACAAGTGAAAGTTATCTGTTACCCTCACATCCTAAAGAAATCTGGTGTCTCTGGTCACCATCTCTAATACTCAAATCTAATTCCTGATGAACACGGCAGGGAAAACCCTGAAGAGCATTCTTTTAACCTAACATGCAAGTTGTTGACAAGAGAAAAAAAATAACAAGTTCTTGAATTATTTATGCATTGGTGGAACTGATAGTTAATATAATGGCATTACATCTATTTTAGCTATATTTCTACCAAATCAGCCCAACTTGATAACATGACAAAAAATAATTCACTGATCGCATTCAAGGATGAATTTGTGAATTGGAAAGGTTTGAAAGAATGAAATGGCAAGGCAAATTTAGCATTTTAAGTGCATGTTTTATTTAATGCAGGAGCACAGAAGTGACTATGAGCAATGTTGCTAAAAAGAATAACCTATATGTCTACAATTTCATTTATTCTTTTTGTGTTTTGACCAATGCTGCATAGATACCCAATGTTCATAGCCATAAACTTTTACAACACAAACAATGTGTACAATCACATAATAAACCTATCAAACCATGAGCTTGAGCATCCCTCAATAACAGAAAATACTTCTTTTCGTAACTTACTCACATTCACCTCTACATCCACCCAAAAATAATACCAATATCATCATCTGATCTCCCATCTTCGACAAAGGCCAAGGCGATCCTTATCGTTTTACACCCCTGCCAACATGAATAAACTCAACCTAATAAGGATATTCTCCTCACAAGTGCACATGGCACCAACACTTGTTAACTCCTAGATACAGATACTTTTTCCAACTTTTATTTAATATTAGGGAAAAAGAAGGAAATGCACTACAGCAGCATCACCAGTAAGAACTCAAAAGTAGAAAACACAGAGATGTATAGAAATTTTTATCACACGATAGATACACACCCAAGCAATCATGTATAAGTTATCAGGGAAATCAACATGACCCATTATCAATACTAGTTCTACGTGAATAATTGATAAAAAAAAAAAAACAAGTATTGGGTTTGAAAAGTGTAAGGCTGGGAGCATCGAACCTCTCCTGGTCATCCAAAAGTGTCTGGACCCTCTTCTTCTGGTAGTATTGCCAATCGAAATGTTTCACCTGGCACACCATTAACATACCCAATTAAGAAAAGCATCGATTTTTACCAATTCAGCATCAAAATTGAAGAAGGGGTTATGTTACCCAAGAAGATCGACAGTGTTTGACGTATTCACTCCTACGTTGTTTGCATTCAAGTGGGTATAGCAAGCCCACAGATGCAATCTCTGTGGGCTTCTTGTCAGATTCCTTTTCCAGGCAGGCATAGAAAGCATCACGAGCCTTGTTCAAAATCACATCAACAATTCAACAAGTGTGTGTGAGATAGAAAAAAAATTACAGAAACCCATTTGCAGGAAAAGAAGAAAAGAGACCTTGTAACAAGATTCCCTAGCTTTGGAGAGGACATCGGTGTCGATTTTGTCAGGTTTTGATGCAGCATAAGCTTCCAGAGCCATGCTATGCGAGTGAATAGACAAGATATGCAAACCTGCGTTGCAGTCACAAACAGCAAAATGTAAGGACTCGCCAAAAACTGGGCTGGGCCAGGATGGGCTTTATGAGAAATCATGTAACCCAAAAGTTAAGGTTGCTTCTTGTGCACCCCAATAATTTCTTTTGTATTCAATATATATATATATATATATATATATATATATATATATATATATATATATATATATATATATATATATACCTCACCTCTTTTTTATTTCTTGGACTTTCATCCAAGCATCATTTTAATTTGATGAGTAAAAATTTATAAGTGATTTATATTTTGAATAGTATAATATGTTATTAAAAAATATTTTAAAATCAATTTTTCAGAATATATTTTCCAAAAATATAATGCGAAAAACACAGTCTATAATTTATTTTTAAAATAGTTTTCTGAAACATATTTTTATTAGAAATAATATGATCCTTTTAAATAAATATAGAGGTGTAAGAAATAAAAAGTACAAGGGTGCATAAAAAAACAGCCAAATGTGTTTTAATTTAATTTTTATATCTTTTAAATAGATTAAATTAGTCTTTCAATTTTTAAAAAAATGTGTAAGTATTTCTTTGATTTTATTAGTTACAAAATCACACGTCCCAGATATTAATATAAGATTTTTTTTTTAAGTTGAAGAATTAATTTATCAATTTAAAAATGCAAAAACTAGATTAAGTTGAACAACAAATACTAACTTAAGAAAGCACACTAATATATATCCTATCATTATTGAAACTCATGAAAAAATGCACTAAAAATAATTCTAAAAATGAAGACAAGTCAATACTTAATAGTTATTTATTATATATTTCGATTTTTATGAAAAAGATGGTGAGAAATATGTGGATTATAAAATGAAGATTAAAAACTCTTCAATAATGATATGACTATTTTCAAGTGAGTTTAATTTTAATTATTAATAAGGATTGTAAGATAAAGATATATGACAAATTTTTAATTGAAATTGGAATGTAGGAGTTGACTTGGTAGAACATAAGTTGATAACTTTTTGTGTCTTCAATTTTTGTGGAAACCCTCTGGATATCCACTGTGATTTATATTTGACTATGACCCCATCAAAGAACCACCCCATAATAAACATATAAATGCATTATTATGACATGCAAAGAATAAAGAAACACAGCAAGAGAATATTTATGCAAAATAAAACATCATTACACACATTATTCTAAATTTAATATATTCTTAATATATGTGTGATCTGGATAGTGTGAACATATTATACATATTAGTAACATGAGTTCTGTATACAATTTAGAATAAAACTTTTTATACTATCAATTAATCAAAATAATTTAATTTTAAAAATATGATAAAAATAAAAGATGTATTATACATGTCAATTTATAATTTATTTTTGTTAAATAACTTTTCTATTTCATTAATTTTAATTTTATTATTATTTTGAGTGTTAATTTGGTCCACTAATTTTAAAAGTAAGTCAACATTATTTTTTTTTTTCATCGTTCTCAAGTTATGGAATAAAAAAGAAAGTATTGATGTCCAGTCTTTAAATAATTATATTTGTATTCTCCACACAACTAATAATCAAATTTAACTTTTTTATTTTATATACTATATTATTCTCGTTATAAAAAAAACAATAATAATAATTTTATTCTCTCATTCTGATTTTTTTACTTTCATATTTTTTTTTACTATTTTTAATTTTAATATATTTTTTTCATGTTTTTATTTTATAATATAAAGTTATATTTTTTATATTACGTGAGAAATATAAAATATATAAAAAAAAGTTCATACTATTTTCCTAAAATAAAAAATAATAATAAAATATTTTAATATTATAATAATTTTATATAATATATTTATTTTATATGATAATATATTTATTTTATATAATTATCTCCCTGTACATATAATGTTTATGTTAATATTGTGTCATTAATATTATATATGATAAATTATTTTAAAAGTAATAATTTTTAAGTGATGATAAAAAAATTATAATATTATTGTAGAAGAAAATTATTATAAATTTTTATAAAATACAAAGGATCATTATAAAAATAAATAAAATATCTAAACTTTTTATAAATTTTAATATAATTATTTACATATTTTTATTATTATAATTAAAATTACGATAAAACAAAGAGAAAATATATAAAAAATAATAAACTCATTATTAAAGAATATATAAGAAAAAAAATAGAAGAATAACATATGTTATGTTGAGGTTTGAACTAGTAAAGAGATTATTATCCTAAAATATTTATTTTCAAATATTAAATATAAAAAAATTAAAATATTTTTAAAGTTATTTATTTTACCTCTCAAAATTATTTAAAATAATATTTTATTATAGATTTTATATTTCATCTATTTCTAAATAACATTTAGTTAAAAAAAGTTTCTATATATTTATTATATAGAAAAAGTAAAAAACTATTTAAAATTTATGTTAGATATAAAAAATAAAAATACTAATAAAAATTTAAAAAATTTATTAAAAAATAATAAAATTCAATATTTATTTCGATTTATATAATCCAACCTTAAACTATTGATACTTGGAAATAGACGGAGTCTATGCTCCAATATTCCAAAATAAAGAATTAAAGTTACATAATTTTTTAAATATTTGTGAATAAACTATTTTAGTATATTTAATTTAGTTATTTAAATTTAAAAAAAAACTTGTAAATAATGAAAGAAAAATTATATATCTAACATTATTTTAAATTTTGTGTAGTTAATAAAATTAAGACTACATCCAAATAATTTTTTTTTATAATATAAGAAGTTGTAAATACATCTCAAATAATTATTATTAATGTTTAATAATATCTTTTAAATTTCAAGTTGATTAGGTTAATTTGTCTTAAATATTGATATATTCGTTACTCGTCAACTCATTTTATTTAAATTCACGAGTTATATTGATTTCATTATAATTTCATTTAAAAAAATATACTTGTTCCTAACCTTATTTAAGGTCAAACCTGAAATTTAAGATACTGTAGTAATTTTTTTTCCCTTAATGTTTTTTCATAAAGTATGAAGTCAATATGTTGATATACATTGTTTGCAATTTTTAAGAAAAGAGGAGATGGAAGTATGTTAAAATCTGCTTTCAGAGCAATAATGGTTGACATAAAATGTATCATTAACTGTGATTATGATACATATGATGGCATGCATATTAATGTTTTGATAGATTAATAATTATATAAAATATATATTTTGTGAAAGGATGGAGCAGGTGTTGTGATGTGGAAATACAATGTACCTAATCTCTCTAGTCTCCACCACATGTATTGAAATGGGATTTGTTTCCTTTCACATAGGGCATGTCTGCCACATTAGTGCCCCAATCAAATAGGTCAAAGACTCCATGCTTGGATCCCAATTCAAGACCAAACTCAAGTGCTGCACAATACTCCAATCAATAAATTTCACAATGGGGTGTGCCAGATTCTTTCAGATGTATATGCAATGAAGTTGACACAATAATTGAAAATTCTAAAAGTTGACTTCCACATGATCAATTAGTGGACAGGATATAGACAAGTTGGTGATTTTAAGGAAAATAATAATAACAATGAAAGTTGCATTTGTTGTTGGATTTTATTGGTGACATAAAAGATTGTTCATTGTCTATTCATATTCCATATTTTCAGTGACAATTTTCTCTCGTGTAAAAGTGGTATAGTGGGTTGACTCTTTCCGTTTCCCACTACCTCACGAATAAGGTTGGAATAGGTTGACTCTTCAAAATATCCATTGGATTCGTGGATCCACTTTATAAAGAAATCAAAATAAAAATAAAAATTCTAAAGGGTTATTTCTGATAAATAATACAGAAAAACCTTTCCATCAATTAATCATATAATCAAATATAATATAGTTTTAATTTGAAGTTTTAAGATATTAAATTATGAATATTTTTTATTTATAAACTATTTAATTTTTCTAAATTTCTTAAAGGTTATATTTTTAATAAAAGATACTGAGAATTAAAACGATTTAAATTATATTTAAAAGAAAAAAACTTAAAAAATAACTAAGAAGTTGCAGAGTATGATCACAAAATAACCTATCTTGTTTTTTTTTTTAAATTGCAATTAATGAATTAACACGACTTAATTACCAATATTGATGATTTAACACATTTTGATTTGATATGTAAAAAAAAATCTAAATTAAAAATACAATTTTGGTTACTTTATCTCTTTCGTTTACAAATTTTGTTCTACCATTTTGTTTTTTTGTTTTTTTTTATAATTTTAGTTTAATTTTCAATTTTATCCAATTTTTTTATTAATTAAAGATTATATTACATTAAATAAATATATGATAGGTTTAAGATTAATTTAAATAAAATAAAGTAAATAAAACATGTGAAAAATTGAAGATTATACAATAAAAACTAAATATATTTATTTTATGATGAAGATACCAAAATTATGGACAGAAAATAAATTACGAAAGTTATATTTAGAGTCTTATTTTAGTAAGTTAAACTCATTTTATCATATTTGATTGTTATTATTATATTTTTTTATAATGGTTTTAAAAATTAACTAAGACTTTTAGTTTAGAAGAAAAATGAGTTAAGATCAGGAACAACTTTTTAAAAGTATGCCTATAATAATTTGATTCCTTATTTTATATATACTAATTAATCCGCGACATGTACCATGCATATTTAATAGTTACAAAATATAAAATCTAGTGATTGGGAGTAAATAATCAAATATAAGTATTTATAATTAAAAAAAGGTATATAATTGTATTTTTAGTTTATTTTCACTATTAAACTTACAGAAATAACGGTGAATATATATGTACACACAAATATATATTGCAGTGACAAATTTATCTATGAGAAAGAAAAATTAAAAATAATAAAAATACTTTTAAGATTAAAATGACATATTTATATTAAAATATTGAAAAGTGATATCAAATAAT